CGGTAGTGAAAACTGTTAGTATCCGGGGAAAAAGATCAATCCGGGGTCAGAGCTGATGGCGGGTAATCGAGGTGAAATTAGGTCAATCTCCCAATAGCCATGGGTTTTTCCCGTCCCTCTCATCATTTTTAATCATTCTTCTTTTTCCTTAATTCTATTGTCGGAAATAGTAAATTACCCGTAAATTCTCCAAAATTAAATTCTGAGAAAGTTTAAATAAATGGCCGAATTTTCTTTTGTTTCTTTTCTCTTTTTCCATTTTTAATCTTTTTCTATGTTTTTAATTTCATTGCCGAGAACATAGAATAACAAGGTATTTCCCCTAGAATTAAATGTCGTGATAAATAAAAAAATTAAGGGATATTATGTTTTTCTCTTCTCCCCTACTGGTCTTAATAATTTTTTCCCATCTTTAATTATGGCACTAAAACAGTCAAAATTTGAGGCCTCATTTCGGCCCCGGTTGTATGCTGCAAAAGCGTTGCGGCGAGGTCTGTTCCCGCGATGCCTCTTCGCGGCAGGCCAATCCGGGTCCAGCCCTCTGAACGGCTGGAAATTACGGTCTCTAGATACGCAGTGTGCGCTCACCCATCTCGCTATCTTTGAGGGCTACTCGTAAGGTTCAGTGTGCCCAAAGTCAAGGGTGCCCAAAGTTCCCCTAATTTTTGTTGCCCGGTCGAACCAGAGTACTGTCAAAACACGGACTAGCCTTTGAGCTTAAGTCCCAAAGCCGCAGATTTCAGGCGGCGCACTGCTTGTGGCTGCCTGACACCGGGATTCCCAACTGCCGAGCCCAATTCCCCGTGCGCTCGCTAAGGCACACGTAAATTCCCATGTATTTCCCAACTTGTAAAAAGGAAAAACAGAACCCGGAAATCGAAAAAGCTTCCAGAAAGAAAGGAAATGCGACATTCGAAAATAAAAAAACGAAAAGGGGTTTTTAATGGGGTTGGTATGATACAAAAACTGGGGTACGAAAGATAGCATGGGTTCGGGAAGTAGCTTGTCACAAGAGTCTGTTGTTCCGGTCTTTTCATATCACTCCCAGCATAGTTGATATGCCCACTTGAGCCGCGTATCCACAACCCTGTTCTGTTGACAAGTGATTTGCAGGAAGTTCGTAAGTGTCGACCTTTCATCTGATAGATAGATCGTTGCGCCCTGTGATCTCCTTCCAGTGAAAGAGCCACCACTTCCACCATTTGGACGATCTGGGACATGCCCACCCGCTATTATCTGGCATCTTCACAGAGCCAGCCACTGCAGTTGCACTTAGTGACCACCCTATGCATTCCCCTCTTTACCCACGTGTGATTGCATCCAAAGCAGGGAGGCCAGTTTTTGAGAGGAAAAGTAGTTTGAGTTGCGGCTTGTTATCCTCGCGGTCTGGCTTCTCCTTTCTTGGCTGCATTCTTTCCCACCGACTGCTTAGTTTCTCCATCAACTTCTCCGACTTGCCTGTCAACCGGGTTACTAATCTATAACTTAAAAAATAAAAACTAAAAAAAAATCTATAACTTAAGTTCCTAATTCCTATAACTACCTGTCCCTGTACTTCCCATCCTCAGGCTTTAGGGTCAATCCGCAGGGAAGTCAATTCCCTCCCTCCGGCTACTGGTTGGAATCTACCCTGAGAATCCTCACACCTGCCCTGCTCTCATACTCGACATTCCTTCAGCCCATTCAGGCCCATCCTCTCAATTGTTTCAACACTTTTCAGAAGCCCCGTGTTCCTCCTATATGGCTTGTAGATGTCCAGTACACACGTCCCCCTCGAACCCCTCCTGTCTGGCTCGTAGACCTTCAGTACAATACACACTTCCCTGGCAGATACTCCTTCCACTCACGTATTTGATAGAAACGACCCTGCTGACTCTCATCCAGAATATACCAACTCCCCGGTGAATTCACCCCTTCTGGCCCAATCAGTTGCTTCCAGTGTTCTGGAACTGCCTTTGTCAGCTGATCTAGCCTTTCCCTCTGGAAGGGGAGTTGTTTGTCCCAGTTTCTGTTTGATCTGTCGTCCTTCCCTCCATTGGTTTACATCTTCGACTCATAAGTCTCTTACAATCGCTACTCCCCTTTGTATTAACCAAAAGCCGAAGTTGCCTTGTCCCCTCCTCCTTGCAGTAAAAGGTGTGCCGTCAGCTTGGCAGATCCCTCGGTTGTCGAACAAGCCTCGGGCTACCGTCTTCACCCGAATAAAACGCCCGGTCATTATAGCGGTATTTGGCACAACTTGCAGTCCAGATACGGCGATAATTACCGGGCGTTCTATTCGGGTGAAGACGATAGCACTTGTTGCTTTGACTGCCCCCGGATGTGTAGTGTCTGTTTGAGTGATTTCAAGGCTTTTCGTCGTTGGAGTGGCAGGAGGAGCGTCATAAGTAAGGGGAAGACTAGCGGGAGGAGGAGGAAATATGGGCATGTATCTTCCCATATTCTAGCCGAAGACTCGTGCTCATTTTGCACATTCTCTGTCACCCAGAGGACGAAATGCGCAAAATGAGCATGAATCTTCTGCTGGAACATGGGAAGATACACGACCATATGTCCTCCTCCTCCCGTTTTTCCTCCTCGTCCCACTCCTCTTCCCCTCCTCGTTGCGCTCCTCATCCTGCCACTCCGATCTCCGATCGACCGGGGGATCGTCGTCCGAGTGGTAGGAAGAGGAGCGCGATGAGGAGGGGGAAGAGGAGNCTCCGATCGACCGGGGGATCGTCGTCCGAGTGGTAGGAAGAGGAGCGCGATGAGGAGGGGGAAGAGGAGCGGGAGGAGGAGAAGGAACGGGAGCAGAAGGAGATATGGCCGTGTATCTCTTGTCATGTTCTAGAGAAAGATTGATGCTCATTTTGTATGGCCGTGTATGTTTCCATGCTCTAGGGGAATATTCATTCTCATTTCGCACATTTTCCGCCAGACGACCACAATGTGCTCAAAATGAGCATGAATTTTTCAGCTGGAACATGGGAAGATACACGGCCAAATCTCCTCCTCCTCCTCCTCCCGTTCCTCTTCCACGTCCCTCTCCTCCTCCTCCCGCTCGTCTTCTCCCTCCTCACTGCGCTCCTTGTCCTGCCACTCCAGTAGCTCCCCTCTCAGGGCCAGGGGAACGGCCACCACGACCACAGGGCCATGCTGAAAAGATGCAGGGCATATGGAAATGGAATTTTTTTCCTGGTGGTACTCAACGGCTATCCTGTAGGGGCATGCTCGAACTTTGAACCAGGACCGGTCGTTACGGTAGGGGAATATTGGACATATTTCAGCCCCAAACGACGACAGGGGTTTTTCGGAGCCTTCTATTGTTGTTAGAGGGCCGTGACAGGGTAAGTAGGCCGTCAGAGGGCCACGCCGGCAAGTAAATCGAACTTTCAGGGGCATATCGAAACATATACCAAAAAAGAACATGAAAATTGCTGTCCCGTCGGTAGGAAGGTCTGGAGTCCAGGACCCGCCGGCCGGACTGTGCAATCGAATCGAAACGAAGTATCATCTTCCACCCTCTTCTATCCTCATTCGCCCCCTCTCCACTCGACGCTTCAGCTGCTGTCATTCCGTCCCGCCCTCTCCCTTATCCTCCTCATGCCCCGGCACCCCTCTTCGTGAACGGTTAGCAGCGATGCAGACCGTCATATCCCACGTGCGGTTGCTGGATGTGAAACTTCCAGTGGCTCGGCTTGTGGCCACTTTGCCGAGCAGCCGGGACGACTGCAATGTGACCCGGTGCTCGCCTTGCATGGCACGTGGCTCAGTAGATGAACCCTCTGGCAAACGATCGTCACGGCTGATTACCTCGCTGCTGATGGTGCCTTTCGCAAACGCCGTGAGAAGGAGCTTTTCTGAGCCCTTGTTCGAGGCTAGCAACGACCAGCCAAGGTCGAGGGTTAGAAGCTCGGCGTTGGCAAAACGGGAGCGAAGGGAGACGTCGGCCAGTCAAGCTGGTGATCTGGAAGGGCAGGAAAACACCCGTCCGTCTGGCAATCGCAATACGGAGAGCAAGACAACAGCAGCAGCAGCAGCAGCAGGAGGAGGAGGAGGAGGAGGAGGGGTGAGCATTTGGAGACGAGATGTTCTAGCTATTGCAGCAGGAGGGGCATTGTCGAGGCTGATACCCTCTACTCCTCTGCTTGAGGGCGGGTGCAATTCTCCTTTCGACAATCTGACGGTGCAGGTTGCACGAGCCGATGAAATTGAAGCTGGCGAGGAGAATGCGGCCGGGACAGCGAGCGGGCAGAGCGAGGGAGCTGCTGGGAGGGCGACATCATCGCCGGTCGATGGGCTGGTATTGTATTTGGATGACGCCAACAAATATTCCCTGATGGTGCCGGAGAAATGGACACGTGGGGAGGGGCAGGCCACAGGCCAGCGGCGTGTCATCGCGTTTTTCCCAGAGGGCGACACGGAGACTAATGTGAACGTGGTGGTGACGAATGTGGGTGCTGATTTCACAGGGCTGGGGTCTTTTGGCACCGCAGAAATGTTCGGGGAGAATTTGGTGGGGAGCTTGGACAGAAGGAACAGCAGGAGGGCAGAGGTACGTCAAAAGGCAGTGCTCATCGATGCAAAGAGCCGGAATGGGACCTATTACGTCGAGTACAAAATCCAGAAGCCAGGAGAGTTTGACCGACACTTCCTCTCCAGTGTTCGGCTTGGATTCGACGGCATATATAATCGACTATTCACAGTGACAGCGCAATTCCGGGAGGAGGACTTGGCCACGTACCGTGAGACATTGGACAAAGTGTTGTCATCTTTTAAACTCAACTTCTAGCGAAGAAAAAATAAGCAGAGTTTTTCTTTTTTTTGAGAGTTCGATTAGGATGACGTAAGCAGATTGTAACACCGTCACAGCGCAATGCCGCGAGGAGGACATGGGCGCCTACGGGGAGGCATTGGACAAAGTGCTGTCATCGTTTCCACTCAAACTTCTAGAGAAGAAAAAGAAAGCAGAGTTTTTTTTTTTTTTTTTTTTTTAATTTTAATGAAGGAAGCGCCGATAATCTCCCTTTCCTCGGTAAGCATTGAGAGCTCGGGAGATGGCCAAAACTGTTTCTTGCTCTATCGGTTTCGGCTTGTGGGAGGGAATGACAGTGTTTAGCCGTAAAACCTTTAACGTCGCTTTCTTCTTTTGTTTAAGGAAAAAGAAATTGGCTGGCATTCAGAATCCCGACAATGACGATTCCAAACGTGAGCCTGTTCCATTGCAGAAAGCGCCACGTGCCCCTCGATGATCGATTGATTGCTGACCTGCTGGTCGATCGGTCCATTCATTCATTCATTCATCCACCCGTTCGATGTATTGATTGATTGTTTGTTTTCCTTGATTGATTGGTTGATTGGTTGATTGGTTGGGTGATCTGTCTGGTTGATTGATTGATTGATTGATTGATTGATTGATTTATTGATTGATTAATTGATTGGATGATCGGTTGATTGGTTGATTGGTTGATTGGTGGATTGGTGATTGGTGGATTGGTTGATTGGTGGATCGGTTGATTGATTGGTAATGAGCAATCTTTTAGTGACTGGACTCGATGGCGGATTCTCCAACGCCGTCGTCGCGGAACATCTTATGGTGAAGGAAGGAGGAAGGACCGCAGGGATAAAAAAAAGAAAAGGAAAGAAAGACATGGAGCTACATGGATCGGGCGGAAACGTGGTGGTGGTTCGTGCGGCCACGATGGAGCGTTCCGTTCCATTCCGTTCCGTTCCGTTTCGTTCCGTTCGGCCTGGCACGTGTCAAACGATTGAAGATCGTTGGCATGGTCGACTACCTGCCAGACATGAAAGTTTTTCTTGGACATGCAAGCGCACTGAGACGCATGCAATCATCCAGGTTGTCCGGGTACATCCTGGCAAGTCCAGTCGTGAAGTTCTTTTTTCGACGCGGGAGGTTCTGAAGAAGAACAAGCAACCGTACGTCATTCCAGATTTTTTATTTATTTATTATGATTTTTTTCTTATAAGAAACGCCCCCGCCAGTTCATTCCAGGGATATTGGCTTTGCTCTCTGATGTTTTTCATCAATTCTTGAAAAGGACGCAGCCGTACGTCTCACCAGAGATAGTGGGTTTGCTCTCTGATGTTTCCATTGAAAACAAAAAAGAAGAAAAAGAGGAAAAGGTCTCTTACCAGAACCTTTTTTTTTTTTTTTTTCCCCAACCATAGACCTCAGCGGGAAAACCAACAATATGGAGTTATAACAGCCTCCTCCAGAAGTGGGCACCGATTGTGAAGGCTCCAATCTTATTGCTGGGGAGCAGCACTTGCTTGAAAGCGGGTCCAGCGTGCGTGCCATTCGTGACAACACAGTCTGTCGAAATGAGAAAAGGAGAAGTCCGTCGAAATGAAAAATGAGACCAGCATTGATTTGAAAAAGGAGACCAGCATTGATTGCTCCCACATGGAGGGCTTAACTGTCCACCTTAGTGAAGAAAACTCAACTGCTCGAAACATTGATCCTGTTTTCTTGCTTCCTGATCCCACTCTTACCCGAAAAAGAAAAGAAAAAGCAGGTTATCCCACTCTGTTGTCTCTATCGTAAACTGCTGAAGGGAACCCTGCTGCCTTGTGATGCTGGACGCTTTCTTTCTCTAATTGTGAAGTCCTCACTTGGCCAGGAATGTAGGATTGAGGGGGGGGGGGGGGGGGGGGGGGGGGGGGGGGGGGGGGGGGGGGGGGGGAGACAAATGAGGACGGACACGCTTTGTCTTTCTAACTGGGAAGTCCTCACTTGGCCGGCAATTAGGATTGAGATAAGGGGCACGGATCTGGGAGGGTGGGAGTGGGAGGGGGAGGGGGTGGGCGGGAGACGATGAGGAGGGTCAAAAGGAGAGGGGAAGGGGAGGGGGAAGACAACAGGAGATGAGCGAGGGGGCGCGGGGGAGGAGGCTTGGGGTCGTCTATCACATGAGGGGTTGGTACTGATGTACAGTTAGTAGGTCGAAAAGGGACTGAGAAGTGCTGCTCCATAGGGAGCGATGCCATTGCTTTTCTGAGTTCTGCCAGGCTTTCCTGTTAAGATTGCTCTCTAATTCGATCCGCAAATCTCTGTTTGCTGTCTGCGTTATGTTCTCTATACCCACCTCCACAGAAAAAAACATCATTATGTGTCTGCGCGCGCGCGCGCGCGCGCGCGCGAGAGAGAGAGAGAGAGAGAGAGAGAGAGAGAGAGAGAGAGATGGGGGACGCACACACTTGAAACCCCGCTCCCCACCCCTTCAACATCATTTTCTCTCTCTTGTGAGCGTGTGCGTGATGATGCGTGTGTATACTACACAATTCGTATGCTCCAGCGCGTGAGGTACTCTGAACCACCACACATCATGAAGACTACCCACTCAATATCAATACCCCATTCAGACAAAGTTTCGCCTTTGGAAAATCATCGATGAACTCCCACAGATGCATTCCACTGCTTTCCAGTCTCGTGCACCATTATGCATACAACCCACGTGAATCCAAAAACATGCATGCTTAACAATAGCTATTAACCATCATGATCACACAGGGTACAAGATCAACAAATGGAGACGCAAAGGTTGAATGACAGACTGTTTCACCAGACTGCTCACCCAGTTATGACGAGGCTGAAAACTCGACAGTTTGCCAAATCCCCATGTTGACGCTTTGAGTCGTAAGTTTTACTTCAACCCCTGTTGCTGGTAGTGTACAGCCCGACAGCTGACAACACAAGTAGAAAGGCAAAGCAGGCATTAGTGACACAACGAGCGGGCTGGCGGGGCTAGGCCGGTGGGCATGACTGCAAACACAGGCAAGCAGCGAGGCAAGGCAAGGCAAGCGGATGGGCAGCCGCAGAGGCAGAGGGTGGGTGAGTATGCAAGATAAGTAACAGCCAGCAAGGAGAGCGGGCAAGGCAAGCAGGCAAGGAGCAAAACCATGCACCCGAATAGCAAGGCAAGACGGCAAGTGGGTGAGCAGCAAGGCAACACAGGGCTAGAAAATGTGTAGCCAGGCAGCAGGGCAGCACCGACAAGGCAGTTGATAAATCCAACACAGAACACAGCAGACTGTCACCTACTCCCACCACGAGCATAACTCAGGCTGTCGGTTCATACCACCATAGAAGCCGAGGAGTCACTTTGACGATGTCTGTTGTCACCCAGGAATACACAGACACACAGGCATCCTGTGCACAGCAGCCCCCATCATAGTGTTGTGGGCATTCCAAGAAAGGATCAGAGGGCACGCAAAGTGGACAACACCAAGAAAGGAAGAAAGAAGTTTATAAACAATATGATGATGCGTGTGTGTGGAGGGGGGGGAAAGGGGGGCGCGTGCTCATATGCACGCCTTGTCTTCGGATTCTATGCCATAATCTTCAACGTAGAGTCGGCACACCTCGAGGTTTGTGGCAGGAGTGGCTTGTTATTGCTGACGTTGTGAAGAACTTTCTTGTTAAGGTGTAGCCAAGGCGTAACCACTGCAGCTTGTTTATGTCATGATAGAAGGAGCGTTCGGTCAATTCACCGATTTGAATGAGCTTCATCTTAGGAGTTCAGGATTTTACTTCGGGCGGGCGTACTTTACGTAGAAGAGAACTCAGACTAATGCTAAAACAGAATCGGGCTGATACGGCTAACAATCCGAGCAGAAAATCGTGCTGCAGATGTAGACTGGCGAGAGTAAAAAGACTTGTTTGGGGGTAACTTCAGTAGGGTCACAAAAACCAGTTATAATTGCACTACGGGGCGGGATACAGCACTTCGGGCACCCTACCTGACCAGAAAGCTCGGTTGTATACATTGCCCGAAGTGCAATTAACTGACATTTCGTTAAAACTGACATTTTTTTCTAAATTCACGAAAGTGGACTTAGTCAAAATTTCGTTGCCCATCGGGTGAGAAAGTGGTTATCTCACTTTGTCCATCTGATGTACCTCAMCGTAAAGTACCGTTAACATACATCCGATGGCCAGATCATCGGGAGTCGCCACGACACCCGATGATCGGATCATCGGACATCATGGGGACAAAAAAACACTAAAAAATGTTGTTTTTTGGTACGCTCAATTTCGTGAATTTAGAAAAAAATGTCAGTTTTAACGAAATGTCAGTTAATTGGGATCGCACCCATGGAGTTGGTGATCTGGTTATCTTACGTCATGGGGACAAAAAAACATTAAAAAATGTTGTTTTTTTGTACGCTCAATTTTGTGAATTTAGAAAAAAATGTCAGTTTTAACGAAATGTCAGTTAATTGGGAACAGTATGCAATGACTTGCTGGTTCCAGGTTGCCTGTAGCCTCTCTCTGACGAGGCCTGTCACGAGGCTGTACCATAGGTAGGGACAGATTTGTCATTTTGTTTGGCTGAGGGCTAACGGAGAGACCTACCTGTAAGGAAAATTCGTGAGGGACATACTTGTAAATATAGGAAATATGGGCCCAGTACTAACTCGAATTTCCTACAGCTACCCTAACTGCGCATAGCAGACCGGGGCTACCCCTAGGACAGACAGGCCCAATGGGCCTACGCTGATAGACGGTCCTATAGCCTATGGCCGGGTAGGGAGAGGCCCTAAGGGCCGAAACAGCAATGGTACCGGTCGGTCAGTCAGTCCGGTCTAGGTCGAGTCTAGGCTAGGGTAGAGTATAGATAGGTTGAGAGAATCGGTCCAGGGCTTTTGGCAGTTGACACTTCGTGGTGAAAGTTGCTGCGCCTGCTGCATCAGGTCGTGGTGACTGATACATGCGTGGGAGATGGCGGACATAGCCATACCTTCGGAGCGCTGACCAGACTGGGGTCAACGCTGTCCGCTCTGACTCTCTGGGAGTGAAAGCGGTCTGAGCTATCAGGGGTCTGATGCGTTGGAGCACGTGGTGCACTGCTGACCCTCCTCATGAGTAGGGTCCCAGTGGCGATACGGCCATAGCTGCATCTTCTCAGAGAATATCATCGTCTGGACTTCATCTTCATCAGGGACTGTTGGCTCTGAGCTTCTTCCTCATCATCAGAGTGGCGATTGGCTCTGGGAGCCTGCTTCATCTTGGCGCAGGCCACTGAGTTGGATGCCAGGGTGGCGCTGGGTGTTACCTGGGGTTCCGGTGCCATTTTTAGCTGTTCGGTGTGTGTGGGGTTGAGGCGCTACCCCTCTGAGGGTAGCGCAACAGGGTTCTGAGGTTATTCAGTGGAAACGATGCTCTGAGTTTAATAAACAGTTGTAATACTGTGTTAGAGTTGTCATCTCTTCATTGATTTCTGGCTGTGATCACTCGGTTGTCTTCTATGAATGATTGTTGGGATTTGTTTGGAGAGAATTCACTGGGTTGTGTATTCTGTCACTTCGCTCTGAGTCTTCCGCTGCGTTCTTTCTGTTGGGCGGTGTGACACTCCACTACCTCTCCCCTTCCTTCTGTGCATGTATGGGCGTGTACGGGAGATCCTGTGAGTGAGCGTTGATAAAATTTCAACAGACAATCATGTTCATAACAAGTATCTTGGCCCGTAGTGCAATTATAACTCATTTTTGTGGCCCCCATGTATTTTCCCCAAGAAAGAAAGATAAAAGAGAAGAAAAATTTTGCATATTGATGGGAAACTATTGGACAGCCATGTTTGGTTGCTGGGGCGTGTGATGCCCTGAGCTGCCAGACATGGGTGTGACGTCACACGTAACCATGAGCAAAGCAATCGTAACGAAGGGAGTTGAAGGAGCTTCTGATCAGAACCGAACTACAGAGGAACACGGCGTCGCAGGGAGGAGAATAATCATAGATTGATTATCACAGGAAGGGGGATTTTCCATGTTGCATTCAGAGAGGAAAAGAAAGGAAAAGAGGGTCTATTTCTCTCATCATAGCCATGTTTGGTTGCTGGAGCGCTCAGTGGTTTCACGGCCGTGTAAGCTCTCCGAGCTGCCCGACAAGGGTGGAATGACTCTTACCACGGAATCAAGCACACAAGGATTCTAAGAACGATGATGCATTCATAATGTATTTGCATAAAACATGGAGAACACCGCCAAGCCAAGTCACACAACTGAATTGAGA